CCTACATGCATTTCCACCAAATCGTGCATTTGGGACAAATTTGCCAATTTATGTTTTTTTAGTGTATTTAGCAATGCCAGCCAAAATGTATACCCAGACAGGGAGATTCCCTCAGCTGGGAGGAGGGGGAAAGCAAAGAAGACATTTATCCTCTATCCAACCCCCAGCAAAGTTATCCAGTTTTAAACAGTGGAAAATACGGCTTTATATACCTACTTAATCACTTCCCTAACTGTTAAGAAGTATGCAATGTTTAAAATATGATCGTTTCTGCTCTGGGCTCTAGCTTATCGCTTTCACTCGACGTCACCTGGTAACTGTTTCTTTGCATGCTTTGGAACGGCATTGTATTTTTGTTTATTTGAAGTTAAGCACAAAGCTACACAATGAGCTATCTCTAGGGTTTCTAGTGTTGTAAGTATGCAGACCGAACGGCATTGTATACTGCCGCTCATTGGATCTTGATAATATTCTTGGTCACACAAAAATATTATGATGTGCTAGCTTGTTGTGATGATTTCAGTGGTTCGTCATATGCTCTTTCAGCTTCATTATTTGTTGAAATTGTTGTATTATGAAAAAAAGACACATGTTATCACTATTGTATTTATTACTTGCCTTGATTTTCGTACTGATAACCAAACTTAGATCACTTACTTCCTATCTGACAACTGAGTTGTTTGGAACTTGTTTTTTATTAATGCAAAGTTACACAATGATGGCACCAGTGATCGAAACGTCATACTTTTTCTAAAAAATAATATTTCTTACTATAAAAAGTGTAACTTGTACCAAAATGGTAGTGTTTCTGAATTCTCTGACTTTTGGCTGAGTTTAGCAATGTAAAGCAAAGTCAAACAACCTGTATTAATCATTCATATACCACCAAAGACAGTGTATTTATTACCCAGGATAAGTGTATATACTGGAACTTTCAGGGATTTCTGTGCATGAGCAAAATTCTGTCAATCTATAGAGAAAATCTGTTCCTATTGAGAAAACATAAACATGAAACAGTTATGATATTGTCTTTGGTCGTTTGTTAATTTCCGGTATAAATTCTTCCCGAGGAACTTCAGCGATACAAGTCCTTTCTTAAGTAAAACTAGTTTATTCTTTCTCAATACAACTTTGCAATACACAAAATTTCCACAGTCAATACATTTGCAATCTCGATAACAAATCACACACTTTATATTACCGCCACTACCGCTCGCTTGACTCAATTATCTGTCTCTATATCTATCTATCTGCAATTATTTGCCGGGCTTATATGCTAAAATAGAGGGCGCCTGGAAAAGACCAGAGCTGCCAGGAAAAGTCAGGATCCTTAGAGAATCTCATGACGTGTTACCAGAATCACGTGCTGAAGACGTGTCACCTGAAAAAGCCACTTTCGAAGAAGAAACCTGACTCGGTTTTGAGAAGGGAAACAGTGAAGCACCCTTGATGAAGCTACTACCACTGATGTGACTACTACAGATAATAGGACATTTCCTGATGGAACAGATGAAACTAACATGAAGCAGAAGCCAACGAGATGGAGACCAGTACGGATGAAGATTTGTTGAATTTTAATTTTGTGTTTGTAAATTCTGTACATTTAATTAAGTTATTGTTAATTATCTATTGGTTTAATGTAAGTGGCTATTGTTCAGGATGAACAATACTAAGGAAGAGGCAGTGTTACGACAGCGGAAGTCACGTGACGCTGGTAACACGTCATGAGATTCTCGAAGAATCGTGACTTTTCCTGGCAACTCTTGTCTTTTCCAGGCGCCCTCTATTTTAGTATATAAGCCCGGCAAATAATTGCAGATAGACATAGATATAGAGACAGATAATTGAATCAAGCGAGCGGTAGTGACGGTAACAAAGTCTGTGTTTTGTTATCGAGATTGCAGACGTATTGACTGTGGAAATTCTGTGTATTGCAAAGTTGTATCCAGAAAGAATAAACCAGTTTTAATTAAGAAAGAACTTGTATCGCTGAAGTTTCTCGGAAAGAATTTCTATCGGAAATTAACAAACGAACAGAGACAGTTAAACTTGAAATAAACGCATATACATTTCCAGATGAAAACAAAAACAAAATAACTGACTTTATCAAATAGTTTCAGCTTTTGATCATTTATTCTGATAAATCTCATGAAATGTTAATAAAATTTTGGTTGATGTTGGTTGTGTGTGAGTACTTTAAAAATACTGAAAACAGAATCTTCCAGTATTAGGAAGATTGAATTCCGAATGGGTGAGCCTGGAAAGCGGTAGATGTTCAAAGAATTCTTTTATATAAATGTAGGTCTACTTTACTCTTCGGAAACATGAGCTTACTCTATTGAGTATCGCATATAAATCTTAAAAGCTAAAAGGCAATATATAAAACACAAGAGAGAAATCCAGTAACTGCTTTTAAAATAGATTTTTTACTTTTTGTGAGAAAATTTGTGATGTTCTTTGGAGTTCGAACTTTCAATAGTGAAAGTAACATTGCTAAAAACTCAATTTATATTTCAGTTGTATAATTTTTGTTCCCTTTCATTTATGTTGAAAATAGTATTTTTATATTTAAAAAATATATACAACCTCACATCAAGGCCTCATAGATTAATTTATTCTAATAAGTTTAAAAGAATTTCAATTTGAGGGTAGGCTGATAGAGATCCTGATGAGTAATAAAATCGAATCGGGTATACTAACAGTATTCGATGATGAGAAACCCACTTTGAGACTAATAATGGCTGGAGACGGCTTGAATGGGTAATGAAGAAAAACTTTAACATAAGTTTAACATATGTTTAGCAAATGTACAACGTTTCGACAAGGTTTTGTCATCATCAGGTGCAAGTAATTTACAATGACACGAACATATA